CACTTTTTCACACCACTGTAAATAGGTATCTAAGAATAAGACATTTTTATCTACAGAGGGAACGGATCTTCTTCTATGGCCTCTTTCTCAAGTAGCCCAGAAAAAACAAACCAATCACTGCCGTGTTTTTTTTCCCCTTTTCAAGACAGAGTTGCAATCTGCAACTACATTGCTAGATGCCACTATATCTTACACACTCCTTTTGAATGGAACAAGTTTTGGTTAGCATGACTGCTTATCCCATGTACCTGGGGAAAAAAACCCTTCAAAATAAAGCTACATTATGACCTCAGTCTCAATGTGAAATCACATCACTGTGATTTCATCTGAGGGCTGAATGCCTGAAGGCAACTGAGTGCTTGATGTCAAACAGTATGTTTCTGTCCACATTTCTGCTGCCATGATGGTGTTAAGTATTTTATCTGACAGGATTTTAAATTGTTGACTGAAGACAAACAGCTTTCATATGAACAGAAAATAATTATATAAAACAACCAGTTTATAATGTAACGGTTTAGCATAGGCCGAGATCAGCTGAAAAGAAATCGGCAAACCGACTGCTCTACACCCTGCTCAGACACATTAAATCACATTATTGCCTCAACAGGTGCTGAGATTTGAAGCTGCCTTAACAAGCAAGCTTTTCTGTGTTTCATGTGATGAAAAAGCCAAATTCAAGAGTGAGTAGGGAAGGGTGGAGTCCCTCAGTAGTACCACAGTCTCTGCTAGCGGCACATCCACTGAAGCAGGCAGTCTCCAGGCTGATGCTGTTCAGCACAAAAGCACTAATATATTCATACACTAAATAAATACCAGTAAATAAAGCTGACAGTTTGCTTTGCAAAGCGGCAACATTCATTGTTTAATCATACATTTTAATGTGGATTGCTTTCATTATGTCAAAAACTCTATAACACAGAGCTTTGAAAATCACACTATCGTTTATCCAAGAACTGCATTTCACTCCTGGAAGTTTAACACCCAGAGAGACTCAGATCAAAGGGAGAGTCTATAACCTGCAGGTGACATATCTAATAGGCTCTTCACCACAATAACACAACTAACTGCGTGGTAAGAATATCACCGCAGTTGGATTATCTGTATTCTGGCATGGCTTCATATTTAACACACTGAGCTAGAGGATACTGTGTAAATAGTGCAGAGTGGTTGGCCACAGTTGCAGTTTTAATCTCTTGTCTTCAAACTCTGTAGCATGTCTGTACGGCTGTTTGCTCAGCCTGCTGCTCTTCTATCTGCACTGGGCGTTTCAGTTGTGTTGTGTTGGTGTGTCTGCGCTCTCTTCTGTGCTCACATATTGCAGGAGATAATTTGGTCTAATGCATTTTAAATGTTCTTGGAGCCTGGTGTCAGGACAAGTATTAATTGCCTCTTGCATTACTCGCATTTTTATTGATGCGCTGTAATGGAATAACCTTGACTTGATTGATTATTTGTTTGCCGTAATCAACATTAATCTATTAAAAGAACTGCATTAAAATTGGAGTTTCTGTGGTTGATCACGCTCACCTTGGTCACAGGTGGTTCCCCCGTAAGCCGACTGGGAGCAGTCGCATACATAACCATTGCTCTTCTCAATGCACCTGCCTCTGTTGTGGCAGAGGCTGCTAGAGCCGCTGCAGTAGCCGGGACAACCTGAGCTCACCCCGGGCGTCATCTTGGACCTCTCCTCCAGGTCAAAGCTCACGCCGTTGACGGTCAGTGTCCTGATGCAGCCCAGGAAGCCTCTCTGCTGAGATGCTGTTCCCCCTGAGAGGAGGATGACCGTTAGTCACAGCTAATGCTCGCTCACAGGCTGCGCTAAGCAGCTTCTGATGACTTTATAACCACAAGTCCCTTTAAGGTTGATGAGGATTTACGACAAACATTTACTTAATTCCAGTGTGCATCTAGGGCAACTCTGTAGGCACTTAAGTGTGTGAACCCTCAATTAGACTAAATATATAATTTAATGGACTACACAAGTTTCCAAGAGAAATCACTGTGAGCACATGGAGAACATATAAACATTTCTGGCATGGCAACAGCTGATAATATATGCTTCAGAGACTGATGACTTTGGATGGAAATGTATCACATTGCTATGCCTATAATTTATACTTGGAAAAAAACATACAAAACAGGTGGGTAAAATCCCCATTAATTATACCCTGAAGCTGATAAATGATACTGCTTCATATGGAGTGAAGCTTTGCCTGTATGAACTGCAGGACTTTATTATTAATTTTTTCAGGCATATATCTAATTTTTGGTATATTTTGATGGCAAAAAAAGCAGGGATTCCATACATAATGTTAAATAAATGGTAAAGGACTGCATTTATACAGTGCCTTTTTTGGTCTTGTTTTGTTTCAATATCAATCTTCTCGAAATCACTTTCATGCGCTTAGCCCGCACATACATCCATGATTAGTTAGGAGCTAAAATGTGATGGTAAGATAGTAAGCAAAAACCTTTTGGTTTGCTTTGGCGACGACCACATAGAAATGTACCTCTAAAGACTAATTTTACTTATTTCCATCAAATTGCTTTATTCCTACCTTAATGCCAAAATGTCGACATCTAAGCAAAACATTCATCCTTGTTTTTTGCAAACTGGAAACCTATCTATGTGCTCTGATTGTGTGATTGCAGTGTAATTAAACAGAAACATTACATAGTAAACTTACTTACTTACTGTTTACTGAAATCTATTATAAAGAAAATGGAAGGAGCTTTTAAATAATTAACAGCCCCATTGTGTTACATAATACACTGTATATTTTAAACATTTTCACACTAACAATCCAATGTGGAGGAATTCAACACTGATCTCAGTGTAGTGCACATCAATACTCCATTACCCACCACAACCGTTTTCTTCTGTCAAATAGAACTCTATTTAGGCATGTGACTTGTGGAACTAGTACAATGTAGGTTTTGCATAATACAGATTTATATTACCATGCAGGGCTATTATTGTCATTGTCGATTAATCTGTCTGTTGTTTGGTCCATAAAATATCAGAAAATGGTGAGAAGTGTGGATCACTGTCGCCCAAAGCCCAAGTTGACGGCAATATCTTTCGTCCACAACCCAAAGACACCAGAAAATATTCCCATTGGAGAGGCTGATCAGAGAATATTTTATTACTAGTATATACTAAAATACTATTATTAGTTTATTATCAAAATAGTGGGAAGATTAATTTGATATTTGACAACTAATCGATTAATCAACTAATTGTTGCAGTTCTCGTACCATGTAGGCGAAATCTCACAATGATATTTTGTTTGTTTCCTCAAATATATGCTTTGTTCCTGCGGACATTATTTCTATATTTGTGAACTGCCTACTTTGGCAATGAGGTTTTTGTTTTAATGCATTGATAAAATGAGTTTCTTTGTTATATTTCCACGTTATTTTATAAATGTAATTTAAACTCATTTTTATCTGTTCCAAACTAGCTATCGATATTAAAATGTAAGGGAAAAGACTTTATAACAACGTTATCCCACATTCGTATTAACTTTGTTTCTTTCATCAGAACATTTTAACTTTGATTAAATGACACCTTTTTACCTTTTTATGAAACAACTGAATCTTCACCTAGTTACAAGTTCGTCTGAGGTCCACAGATGATTATTGCTTACATTTGTCATTTCACTCCTCTGATAAATATTTTTTTTAAAGTAAACGATCCATTAAGTGCATGAACTGAGACCTAAAATTGAGAACACATTAAAAAAAACCACAATATTTTAATGGTATCTCTGTCCCCTCCAGAGGGATGGTGTATTATTAAGGAGACATTAAAATGTCAGAAGGGGAGAGAGGAGAAAGAGAGCAGCCATGCTCCTGGGCCACAGCAATAATGAAATAATAATAAAATACATTAGTTCTTCCCAGTAGCTTACAGGACAGGCTTGTATTTTTACAAGTCTATATTAGTGCTATACTCAGAGGATAAATGTACATTTAAAGTGTTATTGTTAGCTATAATCACTTCTTCTCTCAGTTCTGGCTGTTAAGAGACAGCTTTGTAGTGCAACTACACTGTAAGAGATAAGGGAAAAATTCCACAGTCCTTGATCTGTGCACTTTTAAGTTCAGCCAAGGCTAATATGAGACTGCTGTAGCCAAATGAAGTATCTCACCTGGTGGTTGTGCGTACACAAGAAGAACACATAAAGAAGAAAATGTTTACTAAAACAGCTACACTGTCAGAAGATACCCACTTGATTTGACTGACTCAGACTGCTGAAGCCTCATGCTAGCCTCAGCTGTACTTTAAAATGCATTTTGGCACAAAAGAAGTGTCTGTCTCCCATTTCTTTCAGTCGTGCTGTGAAAGGATCACTTCAAGGCCAGTTGGGAGAGGAGGGATGATTACAGCAACCAATAACTCTTTCAAAATGAAAGTACATATGGCATGGGAGTGCTGTACTAAGAAAACCTTCCCTTTTAAAGCTGCGCTGATCAATATTCTTTGTTATTAACAATGTTCTTACCCACCTGGCTATGTTGATGAATTGTGTTTGATCTTAATTTTGCAACTAGCATATGGAAACTCCCCAATAAACCATACAAAGTGCTGTGTGCAAAACCAACAATCCACTGACATTTGAAAGGTAACGTTAAACTCAGACAAAAGAAGAAATGAAAGATAAAGGAAAGGAAATGCCATGTAAGGCCATCAAAAAAGACTCCCCCTGGCCAGCGGGCCACTGTGTTCAAGATATTATTTGGACAGTATTGGTCTATGATTGAATGGAATTGTTTTCTGTTGAGGAAGGGGAACAGATTTGGAGATGGTGCCTTGATGCATATATGAGTCGATTTATCTGGGTATGCTGAGCAGTAGTGTATGGAAACTGAATGTTCTTGTACTGTGGTGTCAACTGGGGAGCTCATGACCAACAGTGGACATGCAGATGCCTGAAAACCAATAACTGTGAATACTTGCAGATGAGATAGTAGAATTAGATAGTTTTGTCCCTGATCCAAGTTGAGCTCCCGAATGGCACGCAGGTTTCAGTAAACTAATCATCTTTAATGGGCGTAACCATTTAAAATTACTATTGAATAAATAACTGTACAACCTTTTTCTTCTGTATTACGTGTGGTTACATGTGGTCTAGGGCACTCTTAAGTTTTGATCTTACCTAAGAACGGGAAGTACGAAAGTATTGATGAATGCCTCAAAATGTACAGTATGTAGGGCTGTCGCAGAAACTGCAATAATACAAGCCAGCAAGCAACCGCATGTGATGCCACATCATCATGTCATGTTCAGTATTTGTTTTTTCAGATGGGAAAACGCCCCAGAGCGGTGAAGCTAAACAGACTCTACACAGCAGAAGCACTACTCGGTATCCCTCATTTCACAGCCCTGGATTACAATACCACACAGGTGGAAGTGACCCTTAACTGGCAACTTTATTCGTCTGAAAGTCGCCAGTTAACAGGGACACAGATGGAGGAGGACAGAGGAGGGAGACTCCAGTTAATTAGTACAAGCTGGAACTGAAAAGACACATTATCCTGTTGTACAAAATAATTGGCAAAAATGACAAAAATGTAATAGTAATGCTGCGCTGAACCACCCTGCGTACAGAGGAAGCAATTTCCACTGTGGTGACTAACGATTCATGCATGAGGCCCACTTTTTTGGTTTAAGTTGCCTGCAAATTTACTGTTTTCATCAACATCATTTCCATCAGCAGGAAGTGGTATGCAGTACAGAAAAAAAAAGCTCTCCACTGCACACTACCATCTAGCACAGACCAAGTTAGTCACTACTGTAGCTGGTGAACATAGCATTTAGCAGCTAAAAAGCCAGATATTTCCCTGTAGATTTGGTGGAGACCAAAAACTGAGTGAATATTAGACCACAAACAGAACTCCAAATGACTGCTAATGTTACTCTTACACTTTAATGTTATATTGATGTTGTGTTTGCTGCACTGCCTTTCCAAAATGGCCAAAAAACTCAGTTAATGCAGGTTTATATGAACCCTGGTCTCAGGTGGAGGTGTATTCAGTCTGATGGTGACCCTACCTACAAACAGCTGGCTGTTGAGCCGTAAGCGGGGGTGTCCATCAGCTGGAGCCTCCAGGAAGCGAAGGGGGAGCTGGTCGACCTGCAGGGAGGCCTCCTTCACGTTGCGCTCTGCCCTCACGTAGTGCCACTGCCTGTCATTCAGAGGGAGGTGGGACTTCACGGACAGCACCACCGGACCGTTTCCCACATCAAAGGAAAAAGTCACCGCCGAGGGAGCTGGGAGGTCAGTGGGGAATCGTACACACACACACACATACGACAGCCAGGTCAGACTGAATGTGATATTAGGTGTTTTATGTCTTCTCTGTCCTGCCTTTCTGATGCAATGCGATACAATGCTGCTGGGAAAACTTGATGACCTGAATAGATTTATGAGGGAGCTCAGCTGACAGCTCGTCAATATTTCACAATGTCTCTGATGCTGCAGTAATACATAATGGCTCCAAGTATCCTGAGAACTCTTGCCTAAGATTTGCACACACTGTAATCAACAATTACACACCTTTTTAAACAGTTGTAATAAATAAACTAATCCACTGCCACTTGAACTACCTCTCTGAGGACTGGATATATACTGTGATTATTAAATATGCTCTATGGTAAGTACAAACTCACGCCCCTGCAATTTTCTTGCAATCTTAAGAACTACAGTGTATTTCTTTATTGGTGCTCATGTAAACCAGTATTTTTTTGTTTTTGTTCTCTTCTTTTCCCTATTTATTACAGTAAATCTGTGAGGCAATGTAATGAATTCCTGCTTCTTTATTCATCTGGCGTATTCATTAAGGATTTCAGCTTCTGCAGTAGTAAGAAAATGCTTTTAATGTCTCCTATGACAGCATGACATTGCTGTTGACTGTGTCATTAGGATTACATCATGCTGTGCAGACCTGACAGCCTGCTTCTCTGGGAAATTAAACTGTCAACTACAGTGTAGCTGGCATTTCCGTCTGAGAATAGCCAAATATATATATATATATATATATATATATACTGACAGCTTTTGTGGGCATTCTTATGTATGACTGTTCTGTGTTCATGTCCTTGTCATGTACTTTGTGCATGCTGCACTTCTCTTATTCTGGTCGATTGTTTGACTCACAGCTGAGCTCCACTCGGATGAAGTCCTTGAGGCCCAGGTTCTCCAGAAACACTCCTGAAGGAGCACTAGTCTTGAAGTAGAAAGAGATATCAGAGGCGAGTTCAGCCTGTAGGGTAGGGAAGTAGAGATAGGAGGACTCTTGGTAGAAAGACGCTGCATTCCATATAGACTCTGAAACAAAAGGGAAAGGGAAAATGAAAGCAAAGTGGAGGCAGGAAGATTACAGTGTCTAATTAACTCCTTGCTTCCCTGAATTGCATCTTTTCCTCACATTTGCAACAATGAAGTACAAGAAAGGAGGGATTTAATGAAACATGACATCTGAGTGTTTCCAATGTTGACTTCTGGTAGGAAACAGGAAGCAAATTGTGGTCTCTGGTGTCAAAATTCACACATGTTCCACAGCCGACCATCTGTCTCAACCTCCTCCCTAAGAGGTTTTGAAGTGGTATAACAACATCACTGTATTTCCTTTTCCATTCAAAGAGCGCAGCCATTATTCATGGAATTGTAAGAGATCCATTGTCAGGCAAACATCTAAATAAATAACAGTTTTAAGCATGTTAACTATTTGAACCAACAACGAGTGCTGTTTTCAGCCGGTGCCGGCATCTCCTGAGAGGAATGCCTATGACGTTTGTTAGGAGAGCTTATAGCTATGTGATGCTGTGGTATCAGAGTTAAATGATCATGGCAAAATACCACAAAACTAAATCAGTTTATCTTAGACAAAATACCGTGAAGCCCCTCCGACTCTCTTGGAGGCTTTCCTGGCCCCAGCAGGAAATAGGCTGACATAGGAGCTGAACAAAGGAATATTCCATGGTTTACATAGTTTTGCGGAGTTGTTGTAAGCTATTTCTCCTGTCTACTTCTGTTTTCTACTATCAGTAAAGTATTTTCCTTATTCTATTTATTATACAGTACATGCTCATACACTCATTATATAGTTGTCCAAATTATGATAAGAATGTCTCATAATGTGCAGAAATTGTTTAGTAGCCGGACCAAAAAACAAACTAAAATAGGTCACATCACATGTATATTGTTGCATGAAATATTCTACATGTCTTGTCCATAATTTTGAACATACTTCAGCCTGACACATTTGATGTCTTTAGGAAATGGATTTAAAATAAAATCATGGGGGTTTGAACTACATTTGACTGCAGATGAGCTGCTAAAATTTCCCCTGGTCTGTGTTTACAGCTCACTCTGGGACATGCAAGCAGTAAATATCTACAATCTCTTTCATGTTCCAGTGCTGCTGTCCAGCTCTGCTTCCCTCCTGAATTTCCCCTCAATCTGGTAGTCCTGCCTGGCTGCACAACATGAGTTTGTATAGATGGACCTCCTGGTAGGTCCAGCAGATTTTAAGGTTATAGTCCACACAGCCAGTTTGAACAGACTTGAAACAGAACAGATGAAGTTTAACTCTCTATCCCTGGATAAGCACACAAGGAATAAAGACATCATCTGAGCAGGGTTTGTGTCTGATCAACAATAAGCCTGGGAATTAAGGCCTCCATCTGCAGCCAAATTTGGCACGGCAGCTTCAACACCGAGGTGATCACCTACTGTCTCCATAACAACGCAGAGGGCCGATGTGGTAGACGGCCTGCGAGCCCGTTCTGTTGGTGTCTCCAATGACTATCTGGCTCACTGGTAGGTGGTCTTTATAGGAGAGGACTCCTGTGTCATTAGCCCTGTGGCAGACAAAAAAATTAAATAAATAAACTGTAATACAGAGCCCTCAGGGCTGGATGCCTTTATGGGGGTCCAGATAAAGGCATCCATTCTTCTGCATTAGCACAGAACGCAGAGTAAACACATTAAAAAGGGAGCAATCTATCACAATGCAGACAACTGCCGCTGGAAATATGCAAAGTGAGCTGAATTGAGAGAAGCGGAGAAGGAGTGGATTAACATACCATAAACAAATACACCAAAACTATGATGCAGCCTTTGTTTCATCATTTGGAAATTATAATTAGTACGATCATAATTGTAATATTATGTATGGGCTGTGATTAATCAGTTCACAGTCAACACTGGTTCATGAAATTGTTGAAGATAGATGCAAATAGATGCAGAAGAAAAACTGGTCCTCTGTAAATGGTTATAGCAATTTAGGAATATTCTTTAAATGTCTAATCTATGAACTTTCTACCTCGGTAGTATTTATCTCTCGTATGGATAGATTATGGATATACCATAGAGTGATTTAAGAGAGATAATTGTTATTGATTTCTTTTTTTTTTTTCTGTAGTTGGTCTGGTTAATTCATATTTGGAAGCTTTTAGAACCCTTTAGATGAGGGAGGGGATACTATATGTGTAGACACATACTCTACTTGTAGTGCTTTTCCACCAAATTAGCTCTAGTTGTAGTTTATTTGCATCAGCTTTGAGTGGAACCTTTGTAATCAGATCGTTAACAAAGGGATATAGGCCTTTTCCACTAACAGAGAACAGGCTTCATTCTGGTTTGCACACCCAGTTTGAAACTGTTCAGAGCATTTTGACTCAAATTAAATTGCTTCTGAACCCAAAAAGTTGGTTCCCAGCTGGAACCAAAAAATGGCAGGTTTTTCTTGGGAAGTGGAAGTGTCATATTCTACAGATAGTTGAGCAACGCCTTCTGCATCCATTATTACTATGGTTCCACTCAAAACTGGCAGACATGCAGGCTGGTTCACTGGATAGCCAACAATCTTGAACGGAACCACAGGTGGAAAAACAGGTACACCTAATGCAGTCTAATACAACATTCCTGCTATAAATCCTCCTTCATGAAGGTTTTAGAGAGGTGTTAATTCAACCGTATGTTCATTCTGGAGGCTGCAGCTGTGGTGCTGTTAAACTCTATTGCATCATTCAGACGAGTATTACTGTTATTTAAACCTAGCCTCAATAATACGAAAATGGTGGACAAAATGATATACACATCTCTTTCAATAAAAATATATTTTCAAAATACAAAATAAGAAAATAAGAAAAATTATTTTAGGGCAAGAAATGACATATTGCATGTACCATGTGTCTGTGTCAGCATCACAGTTACAGAAGTAGTTCATGTCCATGCAGTTCTCCTCCAGGCTGCAGGAGCACTGCTGAACTCCAGGCAGGAAGCCTCCCCAGTAGCTCCGTCTCTCTCCTTCCCGGTCCAGCCACCAGGACAGGGGACTGCCATCTGCAACAATGCAGCAGACAGTCAGTGACCGCTGCAACAGCTCTGCCATTGTGCCACAGCCCAAGCCCAAGTAGGTCAAGGTCATGGGTTATATTTGGAGGATTGCATTGTTCTGTTTCAGTGGCTTTATCTTGAAATGCAAAAAAAAAAGTATATATGGAAGTACAGAAAAAAACCAAAGGCTTTATAGATAAACATGCTGCAGAAATCCTTTTCTGTCGGAGGCAGCTGTGCCGAGAGGCTTATATAATATGAGACATTAAAAAATAAGAATAATATCAAGAAAATAAAAGCAGAAATGAAGGTAAATAACATAACCTCACAAAATAAATACAAATGCAGGTTTATATATTTAGAACATTTGCGATCAAGTATTCAAGCATAGGGAAAGAGAAAAAAACTATTGAAGCACACTTTATCAGTTTGCACTTAAAAATAGAGCAATAAACAAGATATAATGTTTGCTGAAGACAATTCAACAATTATTAGTTGAGAGTCAGCAACCGTTTTCTGACATTACATCACTGTGGTTAAGATTTGGTTAAATTTAGGCACAAAAAACATCTGGGTTAGGGTATGTTCATGAATTCACAAATGCTCTATAGATCTATATTCTGTTAAACATATACAGACAAAATGAAACAGTGGAAATGTTATGAATGCTCATTAAATCTGTAGAAAGACTATCCAACTAAAGTGTTAGCAGATATTCACATGCATAAAACATGTTTAAATACTGTCAGACTTCATACACACGTTCTCTCACAACTCCATGTCATAGCTAAGTCATATGCAATACACACACACACACACACACACACACACACCTACACACACACACACAGTAGATTTATTCTGCATTGCTTTATTTGTATGCAACAATGTTTATCTGTATGGTCTCTGTTAAACAAACAAATAAATAAATAAAACCTGTGCTGGAGGCTGAGGGCTTTCACAGAGACCTTTCCGCAACACTCAAACCAAGATAAACACATTAATTGACTTTCCATCCCTTATGCTATTTATTTATATTTGGAGGACAAACAGAGAGAGTACAAATGGGGAAAGATAAGAATGAACAAATAAAGTCAAAACATTTCTGATAAATCTCTTAAATGTACCTATCTCCTCATGAATTGTGCACTTTAACCAAAATGGCTGTTTTTGTTTGTGGCATAAATGTATTTGTTTTAATTTTCTGCTTGGCATTTCATGACACATTGTCTGTGACTGTCAATGAGGAGACAGCCATGCCATAAATGCACAAGTCATTGCCTCCACTATGGGGTTAAGTGGTCCAGCTTCAATCATCCGTCACACAACGTGACCCTGCATTGCAGATGAGGCCAGCGTGCAAGGAAAAGCCCATTAAGCTATGTCACAATACATAATCAAGTGTCACATGCTATGGTGCTTTCTTCCTACCCCGGCATACATTATAGCTGCATTAGGCAAGGTTTTTATATGTGGATACACATATTAGATGTCCCATCTCCATCATCCTCTGTTTGCCCATGTGAAACTCTGCTCTTGTATATATAACACTCCCTGGAAATCCTCTCCAAACAGGATCTGATGGCCTACGACTGCCTAATAGCACAGACCAAAATTCGAAGGACAAAAGTTACTTGTACTCAATGGTGAAACACAGGCACTGGGGGAAATAATGAGGGCTTGAGCAACACTGGCCAGCCAGCCAACATTTGCATTACAAAGGCCGAAAATAATACCAGCTGCTTTATTGTCTTTACCCTCTATCCCTGTCCTTGCACTCACTGCAGACATACCGCATCCCTTTTCCTTCCTATTCTGCTGCTTATAGGAAGACTATTCAGACGCTGAACAGGTGCACAAATAAGGCAACAATCAATACTTCCTGAAGGAGAGGTGAGTCTCACCCTCTCCCTCAAATTGGCTGGATATTGACAAGACTTGTTCACAGCAAGAAAAGCAAATGCACCTTGCTCTCTGCTCTACTGATATGAACGGAAACCAACATTTTGACAACTGCTTCACAAAACCACACAAGCACCTGGTAGAGTCTGCAATGTTCATTACACCTACAATACAAAGGAGTTGGCAGCAAACATGGTGCTAGAGGAATACTCAAACAGTCAGACATACACACTCATTTTCTACTATTATTCAGAATCGTAAAATATTCCAAATTTGATACAGGTCATGTAATCAGAATATTCTGTATATTGCCAGTTAGGCCTTATTCCAAATGTAGAATTTTCAGATTAAGACATTTTATTATTATTATTCATTATTATTTGGCTTTTAGGAGGATATGTACACTGCGCATTGGAAACGTGTCTCATTTGGGGTTATAAACTGCAGTTTCTTCACAGCCTCTTGCCTGTTTATGGTCAGCTCTGCCTCTCCCTCGCCAAGAGCCGGTTCTCTGGCTGTCAAAATGCAAAGAACTGGTTTAGGCACTGGAGATGAGGACCAGAACCAGCCCTCAAACTGCTTTAGTGGAAAAAGTCTCAGTGTTGTAAACAAACCAACTAGCCAACAGTTTGTAAGGCTGAATTAGAGATGCATATACAAAAGAAAAGTCCACATTTCTGGTTGGAAGGAGAAACACGCCTACTTTTAAACATTATGAAAGACATAGATATCAACAGGTTTTTGGATATGTGCAAACATCGCAACACCAACCTTTTCAAGAGGGTGGTTGGATGAATAAAACGGGGAGGTTCACATGATCAAACAAGTCCCCCACCAGTGGAAACCTTTGACTTTCTTTAGTCATGTAAACAGCTTAAGTAGGAATATTGTATTTTTGGAACTGGAATAATTTGTGCATGTAAATGTAGTCAGTGGCATTTCACACTGACTACAGAAATTTGGGTCTTTCTTCTGTGCATGCGTGTCTACTCCAGCCTTATGAACAGTTGGCTATCTCCTTTGTTTACAACATACAGAGCTGACCGTAAACAGTCAATAGTGCACTGTACACATGTCCAAAGAATACCCCGAAAACCTGAATAATATCGGCATACCCACGTCTTTTAGTCAATGAAATGAAAATAATAACTGAAATACTTCAGTTTCAGTTGATAGGTCTGTTGATGGTGATATAACATATCATGACATTCATTTGGCAGACACTGTTGTTCAAAGCGATTTACAATAAGTGAAATTTGAACTCAACAGGAACAAGAGCTACTTGTCATCCAAAACTGGTACTTCATAAATCTAAAACAAGAGCGCTGCAATACAAGCGCTTTCTTTAATTTAAAAAAACAAAACACATTGCGGCAGCTGTTGGTTGGATAGGCCAACATCATCATTCTGAGATCCTATCTCTAGCTCTGTTTGTATGAACCACAACCAGTCAGAGCAGTCTGGTGGATACAGATGAGTCCGTTGCAAGCTTTAATGAAGGCTTTCTAAATGCCAAGTTGCCTCATACAGTATACCTAAACAAATGCATCAACGCTGGCAAAATGGATACAAAATAAGAATGTGAAAACGAGCACGACTGAAGAGTACACTAAGCAGAGCATTAAATCGCTGTTGTGAATGTTTGTCACGTCGCTGTCATGTTAAACAGAGTTGCTTCTAAGCAAACTTAATTCATTATGGGTGTTAAATAAGGGGAAAAACAATGCAAATCAGGCCACAGTTGAACAGTGTTTCAAGGACATTGAATGACTGAACATCTGTGTGAACAGTAGAACAGAGAGTGACAGGAAAGATGGCAGAGAGGGGACAAGTGATACAGCTAAACTCCACAACTGGAGGTGAACTTCAGAAGTTCTTGGCACACGCCTGGATCTATAGTCCCAGTGGGCTCCTTTGAACAGCTGTGGCTGTTTTTTTCATCCCCTGTAAATTAGCATGGTGAGTGCAATTTTGTCCAATAATTAATCTGAATATGCTGTAAAGTATGTTTGCTGTCAGAACTGATATTGCTTGTGTCTACACGCTCATACAACAAAGGCAACAATCAAAAAAAATGTTGACTGTTTCTTAAAGTGTTCATGCAGCTATAAAATTGCCTGTTTCCCGTCTCTCTTTGATGTCTGGTGTAATAATGAACTTGTTTGTACATGCATGGCACCCAGGGAATGGTGGAATCTGGAACTTCATGAATGTTTCATGATTTAAGAACAAAATGTTGTTTGGGGCCACCATAGGTGCCGGAGCGGTTCAAGATGAATGCACACAAAAAGATTGGAGACTGCCTTTCTACTTATTGTGAAAATATAACAAGAGGAGCGAAGGAGAAGTCATGGTGTTGAAGGGACAGCAGCTCCCAATGTGACAAAACACAAGACCGCCTGGCTTTCAATTCACAATGTAACAACAAACACTCCCCTGATGCTGTAAAGCACGGAACATTCAAGACGAACAGCGTCCGCACTGAGGCTGTGACTTCCACTTGAGCTCTGTATGAAAAATGCAGACACCTCATTCATTTGAACGAAGCCAATGCGGCAACTCAGTGCCAATGCAGAAGGCTGTGGCAATAAACTGGAATCATTTCATATATTCCTGGTAGAACACTTTGTAACTAGAACACTATGTTTCTATAGTTTACCTTACAGTCGTAAGACGATACAACAATAGAAATAAATCCTGTCTCACAGTACTACAAAGCCTTGTGCAGTGTTTTGGCAACGCTACACCCAAAACAAATCTGCAGACTCACTTGCTAACATTAGCTTGCTACCCAAGTGAAGCAGCGGGACTGTCACGTTTTTTTGTTTTCTTTGGTTATTTCCTGTTTTATTTTGTGTGTGTTGTTTTGCTTCACTTCCTGTCTTTGTCTGTTTCCCCTCCAGTGTTGATCGTCTGCCCCACCCTGTGTCTTGTTATCCTTCTCCTCACCTGTGTATTTCGTCTTTGTGTTTTCTTGGTTCTGTCAGTTCATCTTGGTTTTGTTCATGGTTGTTTGAGCCCTGGTTACCTTGGTTGCTTTTTCACTGTGTTTCTTTGATGCTTTTGCATTACTTGGAGCTGTTTACCTGCACATGCCCGTTTATAATATGATCATATTAAATCACCAAATTCATCCTGTTTCCTGTGCTGTCTTGCATTTGGGTCCAATCCTGAGTTTCCTAAGTTGTGACAGGAGCAACGTCAAGTGTACAACCGTGTCTGACTGCTACTATTACGAACAAATTGTGTGTCATTTCAAATTCCTTCAAACTTTGAAATTTGGAAAAAGTGATAGCCCTGCTTTAAACGCATTAACTGTTACTCAAACTTGACTTCCTGGATCATAACTGAACGGTACCGTAAGCCAGGGGCTCCCAAACGTTTTCATGCCCAGGGCCCCCACAATAGATGCACATCAGAACGTGGACCCCCAATTTAAGAAGATTTTGTCAAAAGGAATCCCCTCTGAGTAATTAAAAGTGATAAAGATTAAAAAAGAGTCAGTGATTAAACTGGGACCACTATAAATTACAATCAATGAAAACAGCAGGCTCTATTTCTTGCCTTCCTTTTCCAACTTCCAAAAAAATTGATAAAAGTTAAAATACCACTTATAACCCACTCAAGGATCCCTGTTGGTCCCCAGACCCCAGTTTCATAGCCACTGCCTTAAGCAGTGTCTTTTTTGGCTGCTGAGTCTCAGCTGGTTAAAGTGAAATAAAAAAGTCCCCTGTGCTCAGTTATCTTTTGGTATATACTAAATATATGGGAAAAAAAGACCAGCTATCCCTGGCCATCATATAAAACCAGACCTGACTGTTCGCTTGAGTTGTAGTTTGCAGAGCAATATCTTCAAAGAAAAAAAAGACATTCTAATTTCTGTTTCTTCTTACTATGGCTTTCAAATCTTCGTTCACTCCCCTCCTGCTCTCTGCGACCACCTGGACTGTGTTTTAATGCAGCTACACAAACAACTTTTGAAACACTGATTTGATCTCAGCTCAGTGCAAGTTGGACATTCAGAGGAACACAATACTCACCTTTTGTATTAAAGAGGCGGGACTTCTTGCAGTCGTAAACCACTTCCTGTTGACACTGCTCTGACCCCGATACGATGGCTTGAAGTTCTTCTGCTGAGGCACTGTAGTTGAACTTCATGATGTGAGGTTTGAGAAGAGAGGAGCCCTGGACTGTGACTGGAGCCGTGCTATTGTGCGCCAACACCGTCCATACCTTCTCCTCTGAAGGAACAAAGTTAATCTGTTAGTGTGGACCCACTGCAAACACCTTCTCTACATACATGTTAGACTGCTAGTATGATCTTATCAGCAACAACCAAAGACATATGTGGAAACAGCCGCATTTCCACCAAAAGTATCCGGAACTTTTAGTCCCAGGAACTACTTATGGAGAAATTAAAGGGTTCCTCCAACGTGTTTCTACTGCATTAAAGACTAACTGGTTTGGAACTGCACTTTTTTATTTTTTTTAAATAGTGGCTGAAATAAAATGCTACGACTTCTCTACCAATCACAAATGTTCAGTGCATCAGGCCCCACCCCTAAAGTTCATGTACTTTTGGAAAGTACTACCTCTCAAGCAAGGACTTTTTGGCAGGTAAAATAATGTCCCCGGAACTTAATTTATACCCTTTATAACCAAAGGTTTCTAGTTTCCTAGGAAAAGTTCCTGCGGTGGAAACAAAGCTAAGGTTAGCTTGTTAGCATGAACCAATCCAGGAGATATGTTACACAAGCCTGTTTCCTTACAGACAGGTTTTAGGAGAAAGCAGATTAATCGTCATTCACTCCAAACACCTTCTCTAAATAGGCTACATGTTTTACTGTTAGCATGATCTCATCAACACCTTTTCCCGTACTTACAAAATAATGTGTTAGCCTGTCAGCATGATTTCACTGTGCTGACCTTCAAGAAAAAATCTTTTATTCTAAATACAAACCAAGTGTTGTATTGTTAACGTGAATCTAAATAAATATAAAGCACGTGTCTGTTAGCATAAACCCGCTCCCTGCTGGTGTTATGTTGGTATGTGTTTGCATGGACAATTCACTCACACCCTTTCCTCTAACTGCAAAAGCACACATGCATTTTTTTGTAAGTTTATTTCTAGGAGCAAATGTCACAATCTCAGTTATCATGAGGGGGAAACATGAGATTTATCATTTTCATAATTCATTGTTACATTCAATTATTAAGTCACACCCAGGTTGACAGAAACATAGCACTTTAGAATTCCCATAGCTATAGCACCACCATCATGGCAAACGTTCCCACAAAAAAGAAGCACCATACTAATAATTGTGCAAAACAGGCGAGTCTGAAGCTGAAGTTCACAAATAAAAAGTGGGTTAATGAGCTGATAAATATATAATACAGTAGGTGTTTTGATTTATCATGTTGCTATGCAATTGCTTTGACCCATTTGCGTGTCATATATTTACTGTACATCTCAGCATCGTGGTTCATTAGCGAGCGAGTGAGGCATTCTGTGTTGCCGGCTGAAACATCAGTGCGACTGGTGACATTTCACAAATGTTTGCAGTTTTGTGTCTGAAAACCCTAATGAATGCACTTGTTTCCAAGCAACAGTTCTCTATCAGCCTTCTCCATACCCAATCTGTGAACCTAAAACTTTAAACATCCTGAAAATAAACCTTACAGTAACACAATTAACACAGCAGAAGAGCTCTTTTTGCCAACAGTCTGCATTTGTTGCTAACAGAATAAGACACTTGACTGCTTGTGAGCTGATTTCATATACACTTACAAAAGACAGTCAAGAGTGTGTACAGTAAAATCAGATGTTCGATTTCCATCCCCACTCACTTTTCATTATGTGTATTTCATGTGTACTCTGCGCTTGAGAAAATCCCTCTTCGCTTTATGATTATTCACATCAGGCTGTCAGGCTTAGAGTTATTTACATTTCTAATAGATTCCTTAATTGAGGTCAAGTTGAGGCATATCTGCTGCCAAATAATTCATATCTGTGCGGGGAAGACAAAGCACAAAATGCCAGAGCCAGACAGCAAGAGGTGGCAGCGCTCTCCTCTGTAACACCACCGGCATGTTAACCTTGCAAAGGACAAATTAACTGAGGAAGTTGTGACAGCTCAGTCATGAATACTGTCTCCACAGTGTCAAAACTTAACCGAATATGTTTTGTCCTATATGTCACGAGGACTGTGGATCAGATTGTGTCCCTCTCCCTGTCTGTCAAATGTCACATCTCAGGTGACAGTTCAGGTGATACAGAGCGCTTTGTGTTCTTGCCATCAACACATCACACGGATACATCAGATACAGTCTGATGGGGCGATAAAACGTAAGGTCCAAGTTTCAAAAGACCATTGCTTCTATGCTATAAACATTGAGCTAGTTACACAAATCCAACTGTACTACCAAATTATGCTAATACTGTAAATAATTAAAGGTCAAATGGTAATGTCATTCCTGTCTCCAAAACTCAATGGATTGCCATGAAATTTAGTATGGATATTTGTGCTGGCCAGAGAATGTTTGGTAATGATTTTATTGACTCGTTACCCTCAACTTTCCTTTAGCGAGAGGCCAATCGTTTCTCCTTGAGCAATACATAAATACCAGGACATGGTATTTCAAAAATCAATGGGCAAATTTCTGTGAAATCTGATGTGGATATTCAAGAAAATCCAATTGAAAGGGGCAGCTTGCTGTGGAATTTATTACACTTATATATAGCACCACCCTCAGTTCAAAATGTCAGTGGCACACAAAATGTTTAATTTTGTAATTTAATGGCAGACCACCATGAAATTTACCAAACAGATTAGTGCTCCCAAAAGGATTAACCCTTTTGACTTCAATGACCCCACGCTTTAATGAATATTGCAGCCTGTAGTGGCCACTAGTGGGGCTTTTGACTTGTATGCTTGTTAAGTTGTAATCTTGTCATGACATTTTTTAAGATTGAGAAGCCACAACCTCTAATGATTTTAACTAACTGGATTATGGGTTGCTTGCAGCATTTAAAATAAAGTATAAGACAGGATAAGGCGGGATGTTATATAAATAATGACGGTGGTGGTTTTGGACCCAATTATAGATTAATAGACTATTTAAGGGTGTTCACATAGAATAGAATAGAATCCCATTATTGTCACTATACACATGTACTATGAGATTAAAAGCCAACTTCAATAGCAGTGCAAAAACTGTAAGAAATATAAAAAAATATACAGTATAATATATATATATATATATATATATATATATATTTGCGATGCTTTGCCCTATTGCTGCTGTGT